CTCTCGCCTGCCACTGTCCGGGAAGGTGTGGGTGGGGAGGACCCGCTGGCCTGGCCCGTGGGTCATGGCCACGGCCCTGGCGCGAGCTCTGCCTCTCCTGCCCCTGTGAGCAGTGGGTGGTGAGCCTGGGACCGGCCAGGGTAACGTGCTGCCTGTCTCTGCTTCCGCAGCCTACGGCATCGGTCTCCTGGTGACGTTCATGGCGCTGGCCCTCATGCAGCGCGGCCAGCCTGCCCTCCTCTACCTGGTGCCCTGCACGCTCGTCACCAGCTGCGCCCTGGCGCTATGGCGCAGGGAGCTGGGCATGTTCTGGACGGGCAGCGGCTTTGCGGTGAATACCAGTTTGCTATGAATGTCTACGAGAAATAATAGCCTAATAAGCCCTAACTAGAGTTAAAGTTGAGTAAGACTTCCTAGCATTACAACTAAACCCCGCAGCCCGTGTCAGTCTCTGGAAGGTTTTGCTTTGGATGTGGTGCTCCCGTGGCTGCAGGGCGGGGAGGGGTACATGTGCTTGTGGTGTGGCTCGGGGTGATGCTGCTGCCCTGCTGCTAACCCTAACCCATTTCGTTGGATTGGTTGGACTTGGGGTTCCAGCTGCTTCTTCCACAGGCAGGGGGCGGGCCGGGCCTTGCTCTTGTCTGAAACTAAAGCGGAAAGGGACAGAGGCCACTCCCCGTGCAGTGCAGGGCGACCGCTGTGTCCTTGCAACTCAAGGGCGTTCCAGGCCTGCGGGGTCTCTAGTGGGCCCTGTTAGGAAACCCGTCCTGCCCTGATGGGGGCTCTGAGCGCTTCCGGTGTGTGTGTAACTTGTTCGCATAGATGTGAATACGCTTTACATGTGGTGCGACTGTTGGGACCCGGTGAGTCGGGAAGGCTTCCTGGGCTCAGTGCCCATCGTCCCCAAAGGTGTCCTTCCCGGAGGGCGTTGGCTTTGCTATAGAGCGGGTGGATTGGTTCTGGAAGGTTCTGGAGGGAGAGCAGGCCAGAGAAGGCAGGGTGGGGCCCTCCTGGGGCCCTGATGCGGTGCTGGTGCCGGTTGGCGAGCGCGGCTCCTTCCTTGGTCCGGAGCCCCCCCGCGGCTCCGCCAACCCGGGCCTCCTCCCTCCCCCAGAAGGACCTACCTCAGTCGCAGTGGGCACCCGCCTCCGCCGACGGCCCGCAGCCCCAGGCAGACTCCGACGCCGCCCCCTCCCAGCAGCCTCCCGGCCAAGAAGCGGCCCCGTCCCCTGCGCCCGCGGAGCAGCCCCCGGAGCCGTCCGCGCCCGAGGAGAGCGGGACCGGCGCGCCCCCCCAGGAGCCCGAGAGTCCGGCAGGCCTAGCCCCCGGCCCCGCCCCTGGCCCCTCGGCCTAGTGGGGGGCGCAGACTCGGCCCCCGCGCCCCGGGACTGGACCCGCGCGGCCCCCAACTTGGTGCTCTGGCCTGGCCGATGCGCACGTCCTGCTCCAGCCCGGCCACACCCCGGACCCCAGCCCTGCTCCGAGCTCGCGTGGCTGTCAAGCCCCCGGCCGGCTGAGGCCAACCCCGCGCGCGCCCCGCTTCTTGCGGCGGTGGTGCCCCGGAGAGGGCGGGGCCGTCACCTCCGCCGTTGGCCGCGGACACGCCCAGTTTGGTGCTTACCCTGCTGCTGCTTCCCTTCGGGTCCCGGCCGGGAGAGGGCGGGTCTCTGGCTCCTGGTGGAGGGGCGCCTTTGCCCAGCAGGGCCCCCACGGGTTTGGACTGGACGCCGCCGCGGCCTTGGGGGCCCGCGGTGAGCGCTGAGCCCTGCGCCCGGCCCTTCCATCGCCCGGAAGCGCCCAGCGCCTGTGGTCCAGCTCCTCCAAGTTTGAATAAACGGCCACGACTTTTTGAAATTCTGGTAGTGTCGCCTCTTGGGGTGCGAGCCCTTCGGACTGCCCCTCTCGGGGGCGGGGCTGGTGCCAGGCCGGTGGCCCCATCTTGCCTTTCAGCTCAGAGGAACTCGGCTCCCACCCTCGCCACAGGCACCCGCACGCTCTCAGCACCCTATCCAGTGCACGCACCTCGGCCTCCAACTCCAGCACGGGGGACGGGGAGCTTCTGGAATGTGGGAGGATATTCTGGAACTGGCGTTATGTCTTCTACCTCACGGACAGGGTTCTCTGAACCTCACGACGGAGATGCCGCCGGCCCCCGTGTCACCGCCTGGCGACAGAGCCGGCGCCCGGACAGGCACCCGGGGCTGCTGATCGCCAGGGCCCCGGCCCGCTCACCCCGCCAACACCCCGTCCACGCCGCACGCCGGCTCTGTGTCCCTCTGCCCGCTGCTGCGCTGCACACAGCAGGCAGGGGCGACCACGGTCCATTCCACACAATACCAGCGCCAGCCAGACTCAACAGCCTCTCAGCCACGCCTCTCGAGGAAGAAACGATGTTTATTCCTAAAAAAAAAACAGAAGGCGTCTCCCACCTGCTTCTGTGTGTTTCTCAAAAGAACAGGTGATCCGGTGGGAGGGCGGGGCTGGAGCAGCTGGACCTGCCCAGCCCCATGGGAGCCCCTGGCCTTAGAGGCCTGGACCAGGACGCAGCCGCGGGGCAGCCGCGGGGGAAGGCCCGAGCGGACCTCCGCCCTCCCTCTAGGGACTGCGCTTTCTTCTAAGCCATTTTGTACGTCGGTAAAGAGCGCGGAATCTCTCTTTTTTCTGTTTCGGAGGTTTGACAAACGTCAAGGAATTCAAAGGCGGATGTTAGTTCCTGAAGTTTCGGTTTGCAGTTTTTGCCTTGCTTCTGTTTGAATCTTATAATTAAACACAGCTTTTGATACTTACGGCTGGGTCTTTGCCTTTTCTGTGCTGCAGTGAGCCGGGGGTGGGGGGAGGGGTTCGGGGGCGTTGCGGGGAAGCCCTCAGTGGGCCGGCCGGGCTGGGCCCTGGTGGCCTTCAGCCTGCAGGAATTCCTGTGTGGATGGAGGTGTCCGGAGCACACCCGCAGCCTGTGGCCGCTGGTGCCGCCCAAGTGGGGTTTCAGCTTTGCCGCCTGTGGCTACTTGTGTTTACTCGTGTGGGGTCCTCGTGAGGGGAGGGGAGGGTAGCGGAGCCTGCTGTTGCCTGCGTTTGGGTACTGTTAGCTTGTCTGTGATGATGTAAGAACCACGGAGGGAGTCACCTGTAGCAGGGCCTGCGGACTTTCTGTAAAGAACCAGATGGTCAATGTTTGGGCCTTTTTGGGCCACATGGTCACTGTCACAACCGGTCAACCGAGCTGTGTAGCCAGAAGCATCAGACAACGTGTAAGCAGACAGGCGTGACTGTGGTCAAAAACTTGGTGGACACCAAAATGTGCATTGGTGTCATTTTCACAGGTCACAAAATACTCTCATTTACAACAATTCAAAAATGTAAAGCCCTTGCTTAGCAAGCAGCTGAGCAAAAACAGGTGGTGGCCCCAGCAATCAGACCCCGGCCTGCAGGAGCGCAGGTGGTGAGGATTGCAGGCCATGTGTGGGGCGGGGGCCCGTGTGCTGGCCTGTTTCAGCTTTACACACAGAGAAGTCAAGTCTCTGGGACCAATGCCTTCAGGCATTGGTCTTGTGTTTGAGCTACAAAGAGGACCAATGCTGTGAGCTACAATGTCTTGTGTTTGAGCTACAAAGAGGACCAATGATGTGAGCACAGTGATTTTCTTTCTTTTTATTTTTTTAAAGAAGATGTTGGGGGTAGGAGTTTATTTATTTATTTATTTTTGCTGTGTTGGGTCTTCGCTTCTGCGCGAAGGCTTTCTCTAGGTGTGGCAAGCAGGGGCCACTCTTCATCGCGGTGCGCGGGCCTCTCACTATCGCGGCCTCTCCTGTTGCGGAGCAGACTCCAGACGCGCAGGCTCAGTAGTTGTGGCTCACGGGCCTCCCAGACCAGGGCTTGAACCCGTGTCCCCTGCATTAGCAGGCAGATTCTCAAACACTGCGCCACCAGGGAAGCCCCAGTGATTTTCTTTCACTAAGTAGACCAGATCTTATGCATTTCTCATTCATTCACCTGCTCATTCACTCCCTGGTTCATTGCACGCCTGCTGTGTGCCAGGCTTCCGCTCAGGCCTGGGATGCCTGTGTGAGTCTGGGAAGGCAGCCCATCTGAGGGTCAGCATGGGAGAGGCCCCCAGCTCTGTCTTGGGGGGCAGGTAGCATGGAAGGTTGCTTGGAGGAGGTGACTGTCCAGCCAGAGGGACACTGGAGAGGCTGCTTTGGGCTCCGGTGGGGAGGTGAGAGGAGGTTAGGAGCTTGGCCGGAGAGAGGTGGGTATTGCCAGCCATGTGGGCAAGGCACTCACGGGGTATCACCCTCAAGTGTTCTGAAGTTCTAGAAAGCCCTTCGGCTGGCCTTGGGGAGGGAGGACGGTGGCCCCCAGGAGCACGGGCTTAACGAATATCGTTGGTGATTGTGACCACGTACCACGCCAAAGTAAGTAGTCAGGAATGGGGACCCGGGGCCAGGTGTGTGGGAACTCTCAGTACTGTCTTCACAACTTTTCCATAAGCCTGAAACTGTTCAAAAATTTAAATTTCATTTGATAAACTACCATAGTTATTCGCATGCACACTCCTCCCCCCACGCTGTCTCCTGCCCTGAGCATCTGCTCCTCCGGTCCCGGGCACCCCTCCCCTGCCCTGTGTCCCAGGTCACTTGCCCACGTGGGCTCACCTGCCCAGGTCATGCCCTCCACCTGGACCTCACCGGCCTCCCGCAGCTTCCAGAAACCGATCTCTCCACGTGGCTCCCGGGGCATCGCCCGCCCACTCCCCCTCCCTCTGCCGATGGGACCCACCTGGGCTCCTGACCAGGTGCGCAGGGCGCCCCACAACCAGTTGTCCTTTCAGAGCCTCTGGGAGCTGGGAGCGGCCCGGATGAGTCCCAGGTGAGCAGGGGAAGGGGTGCAGTGGGGGGGCGGGCAAGAGAAGCTGGCGAAGGCGGTGCTGTCCGGGTGCGGGGGAGGGCGGCGCCCCCACCCGGTGCCGCCCCCAGCCCCGCCCCATCCCTGAGCCTCTTGGAGTCCGGGTCGTTTGCGGAGGGAGCCGGGCCGCGGTGCAGCCTCGGGAGGGGCGCGGTGAGTCCGGGGTCCCCTGAAATGAGGCGGGCGGCCCCTCCACGTGGCTCCCGGGGCATCGCCCGCCCACTCCCCCTCCCTCTGCCGATGGGACCCACCTGGGCTCCTGACCAGGTGCGCAGGGCGCCCCACAACCAGTTGTCCTTTCAGAGCCTCTGGGAGCTGGGAGCGGCCCGGATGAGTCCCAGGTGAGCAGGGGAAGGGGTGCAGTGGGGGGGCGGGCAAGAGAAGCTGGCGAAGGCGGTGCTGTCCGGGTGCGGGGGAGGGCGGCGCCCCCACCCGGTGCCGCCCCCAGCCCCGCCCCATCCCTGAGCCTCTTGGAGTCCGGGTCGTTTGCGGAGGGAGCCGGGCCGCGGTGCAGCCTCGGGAGGGGCGCGGTGAGTCCGGGGTCCCCTGAAATGAGGCGGCAGCCCTCTCCCCGCGCCTCGGTTCGCCCGGGCCGTGCGGGGAACGCGTCGGACTGTGTAGACGCCCTCGGGGAGTGTGACTGAGGCCGGGCCGTGTAGACACGGCGGGGCACCCTGCGTTTTTCGGCACCCCGAGGGCTCCCCCAACCCCGACGGCCGCTTTCCCGCCTTCCCACCCATTAACTCGGCTAAACCCGCGGTGGGGCTGGGCCGGCGGGAAACGGGCGCGCAGAGCCGGCGAGGTTTCCAGGGATCTGGTGAGGGGCCCCTTGCTTTCCTCCCTGTGGCTTCTCTCAGCCAATCCCTTGCTAGTGAGTAAAAACACGACAAGGATTTGGGGGGTAACAGTTTGGGGAGGGTGTGGTCACAAGGCCTGAAGCTGGGCTGGGGGTCCTATAGGGGAGGGGCCGTAGAGTCAGCTGCCGGCGGCAGGTGTGGCGTGTGAGTGATTGTGCCTGTGATGGATCGTGTGAGATTGTGGTTACAGGCGCGGGGTTGCGTATGGCTGTGTGGGGTGGTGTCATTGCCTCTGTGTGTGCTGTGTGTCTGTGTAACTAGTGTGTGACCACGAGTGCGTGATTGCACTGTGAGGTCATGTAAGCTGCACGCGGAGAAAGGTCTGCTGGGGTACCATGGCTGTCGGTGACAGGGCAGAGGCCCTGGGAGGGACCCGAGGCCGCGTGCAGGTGAGTGTGTCCTTCCTGGAGGAGGACATGAAGGTCTGGGCGCCTCCTTCCAGTTTCTGCAGTCGAGGAAGGAGAAAGAAACCGGCGGGGGGAGCGTGTGGGTCTGTGGCCGGCACGTGGGGAGCTGGGACCTGAACTGGGGCGTGGCTGCTCGCCATCTGTCTTCCTGCCCTGGGGCAGGGTTTCGAGCTCTTGGTCCCCGTCCCCTGGGCTCACCTGCCTTACCTGGACCACAGGGGCCTGGGGGAGCCGTCCCTGAATTCTAAGAACTCTGTGTGGAGGGGGGAGGGGGGAGGGGGAGGGAGACAGTGAGACAAACAGTGAGACAAAGGGAGAGAAAGAGGGAGAGAGAGACAGAGACAGAGGAGACAGTCTCTCCAAGCCTCAGCGTCCTCATCTGTAAAGTGGGGATCATTGTGCTGGCCCCCTCCCCATGGGAGTGCTGGAAGGTCTGAACTAATTGACCTGAGGCTGTGAGCCCACACAGATTTTAGGCATGAACTTTCTGCTCGTAGCTGCTCTGTGTTTCTGGCACCCATCCACATAAAAAGTGAGAACGGGGAAATAGCTGTCCCCAGTTATTTGAACACTCGTGGCTCTAAAAGTGAGGCAGAGGGTCACATGTTCTGGGTCTCTGGCTCACGTCGGCATCAGCCTTTGCCATTTTCCCCGCTTTACTCTATTAATTAAAAAAAGTGATTTCAGAATAATTGTCATTGCAAGGGTGGTGCAGAGGATCCCCATACACCCTTCACCCAGCGTCTCCTAGTGTTCAAACCTTGTGCCACCGTAGATCAAAACTAAGAAACTGACATTAAAATGAACATAAACACTCGCAGCCTACTTTGCCTGGATTTCCCCAGTTTTTCCGCTAATGCCTTTTCTGTTCAGGGATCCAATCTGAGATGCCCCACTGCATTGAGACCCTGTATGAATTTTTTTAAATTAATAAATTAATTTAATTTTGGCTGCGTTGGGTCTTCGTTGTTTTCTGTGGGCTTTCTCTAGTTGCAGCGACCGGGGGCTACTCTTCCTTGTGGTGTGCGGGCTTCTCATTGCA